TAAGGTAACAGCCATCTCACTGACCCATATTAAAAATCACATCATTCAAGTTATAACACTTAGCATATAAAAATTAATTATCATAAAGTTTAATTTCTAAAAAACAAATATCTCCCCTAATCTATGTCTTTTCTGCATGTGCAGTCTCTCTCTTCTCTTTCTTTACTGTACCTTCGAGCCCACTGTAGATCCTCCCATGTATAACTCCTTAGTGGGCTTTTTTCTTTTCATGTGCTTGCAACTTTTTTAGGCCCCCATCATAAGCATATGGGCTCGAAAAAGAGTTTTTTATTATATATTTTTTCTTTTCCTAGCTTTTTCCTAAATGAAAAAAAAAGAGTGAATTCTTACTATAGAAAATTCTAATTTTTTTTATTTTATTTTCTCAATTTGACCTCCATCGTAGGTTTATAAAAATTCCCTTGATGCTTGGAGAGAGACACAATTCTCTTAAAATGCATTAATTTTCTCCATAAAAGTTGAAAAAAAAAACTATTTGGTGGGAATTTAAAATATTCAGAGATTCAATATGACAAGCTTTCAGTATTCCCATGAATTAAATATGTATTGACTGTCCTCATTAGATAGAACAAGTTTAGAAGCATTCAAGGCCCACAATCCTTAAATGGGTCATATTCTGTGCTTTTAAAATGTATTGTTTATGGGTTTGTGGGCAATCAAAGCCCGGTCCATGGTCTGAAATGGGTTTGTGGGCAATCAAGGCCCGGCCCATGATCTATATAGTAAGGTTCTATTCTTCTCTTAAAAAAAGGTGTTGGCTGTCCACATGGAATGAATCGAGATTTGAGGTGGTTAAGGCCTATAGTCCTTACACCAAGGCTCCAATCTTCCTTCACAAAAGGTGTTGATTGTCCTCGTCAAATATAACAAAATTGGAGGAGAGGTCTTTGAGTTCCTAAAGGAAGATGAGTATTGTCAAAGTTCGACTACAGGAAAATATGTTACTACCGTCAGACTTTCTAGCGGAAATAGTTATATTGGGAAAACCGACAGACTTATCAGTGGAATATGCGCCAGTAACTTAACTGCAAAATGTTCGGTGAAATGTCCGCCGAATTCGGTTCATCCCATGTAAGATGTTATGATTTTTGCAACGATATGTTCTTTGTACAATAATGCATAGATGATGAAAGAAGACTATCAAATATTTGATAACTATATTGATTTTTTTTTTATGTTAGAGCAATATTATCATTTATTTCTATATTTGTTCTCAGAATTTTGGTCTACTTTGTTGTTGAATGACTGTTGCATCTCTATTCTTCTCTGAAGATTTTTTTTAGTATAAAATTCAGCCATTTTGATTTTTGGAAGAATTTATTTATTTATCTAGTTTTGAAATAATATATTTGACCGCCTTCACAATTTTTTTGAAGCCAAAATATTATAATTTGGAAGGGAATAAAATTTATGAATAGCAACTTTAAAAAATCTATCATTTTCCTAATTGCAGACTTCAGAAATTTTCTATTCCTTATATATTTCTCAAATTAAGTTAAAAACTTTCTGTAAAAGTTCCCATATATGTGAAGAAACTTTACAACTTTGAGAAAATTTTCAAATAATTTAGTTTTTTTTGGAACGGTGGTATCTATCAACTGCCACTTCAAAGAAAGCACTTGGCGGCGTAACTAATCCTTCGGCGGAACCTAGCGAGGTCATCCTTCAGCATCGGGCCCACACATGCTTTGTCCCACTGAAGAGGCGAGGTCGTAGTAGAGGGATTCGAATCCGAGACAGAGGGTTCCCAACCGTGCTCGCCCACCAATCACCCTGAGCCTCGTTGGGTGAATGACAATTAGTTAGGAAATCCTATATTGCTTTACCATCATAGAAAATGTTAAATGATTGAATTTTTTGGTATATATGATATAATCAGAAAGAGAGTTTAGAGATCGATATGCTTCTATAATCTCCTATAATATTTTGCTCTGTGATGATACAAATGTTTTAATAGCTTTG